TAGAGTTGATCGAATGGCATGGCTCGGCCATGCAGGCGTGGTCCCTGCCTAATATTACCTTATATCTTTTGTCCATACTAAATATATTGTTTTTCTCTAGCTTAACTTCGTTCTACATCATGTATTGATAATCGATACGATACAGTGAGTTGGCGTAGTCGATGGCGTGACTTCCACGTAAGATCTTATGGATTAGGCAGTTATATTATGACAAATCTACAGGTTTAGGATTAGGTCTATTATTAGAGCAGCACTAATATTATAGTAGACCATAATTCTACAATATATCTCATCAGCGAAACATTTAAACAATGTACAAAGGAAATCAAAATCAACATACAAAGCAATTAGATTTCACTAAAAGTAATCATAGTTGTAGGGCGAAATCACAACAACCATCATAACGACAAAACTTATGACCAGATGGAGTCTATCCTAACCTTTCCATAATAGCGACCTCCAGATAGACGTCAAATTTGCTATGAGCAGTGCAGCCTAGGAGATAAACTATTTTTCTAAAACCATGTCTCGGCATTAAAAAAACGGATAAATGGACTGATTATTTTCGGCCGAGGTTCTAGAGTCCAAGAAAATTATTAGCTTCTGTTGGACTATGAGCATCATAATAACCTAAGACAACACTCTGCACATGGTCTTTGTCTGTTAACGTCTGTTTTTGTAACCGGATATCGTTTAAATCTGCTGGATTCATTAAATCATCACTAATAAGAGGGTTTCAACTGGCTGCCATGATATAAATGAAATACGGTATTCAAAATTCCGAAAACACTGCTAGTTTACTAAAGTTGAATTGGATGAGGACGATGAAAAGATAACTGTATAAGAACTAAAAATTATTTAAACAGGCTTATGTCCGTGAGCCAAGTAAAAAAGTATTCTAAAGAAGGTTAGAGTTAGGACAATGATAATATCAGGAAAAGTAAATGTACCTGTAGTAGACCCTAACCACACAATCCTCGAAGCTGAGCACGAGACAACTGATAAAATGGATATTCAACTTTTAACGCGTAGAAAAGCTCAACGATGGAGAAGGCGGTAACAATGGATTGTACGAATTCGAATTGATTGTATTGCATGGCTCGGCCTTGCAGGCATGGTCTTATGTACCATTATTTTTATCCACATCGAATATATTGTTCTATCTCTGAGTGTGTTCTTCACCATACATTGATGATTGTTACAATGCAATGAGTCAGGGTAGAAAATGATGTGACTTCCACGAAAGATCTTACAGATTACGCTGTTACATCATAACAAATGTACAATTTTAGGATTAGGTCTATTATAAGAGCAGTGCTAATATCTTAATAGACCATAATTTGACATACCTATAAGCAGTTTTCTACTCGACATACTCCATTTTCATCAACGAGACACCATCAACAACAGCCAACTATAACAGATAACAAACCAGCTTCCAGCTCGGGAGAAAATTAGAAGACGCTGGTAGTGGGTAGTACATGCGTTGCTGAAATCAACAAACTGCATTACGAAGTAAGACCAAAACTGGAACCTTATAAACAAAAGAGAAATAGGCATACCGAAGGACTCAGTGCTCTGAGAATTGTGGACGGAAATCAAAAGAATTTATAGTTCTCGGTTATGACCAGAAAGGAGAGCCCAAAAGAGTGTTGGTTGAAGTTAACCATTCCGTGCTTCATACTTCAGGTAATTTAATAGGGGTAAATGGTATCAATAAGCTTTAGTCAGTTGTCTTACTCTACTATATTTGGGCGGGTATGGTGTGATCGCTAATTTTGCGTAACCTTTCCTCAAAGTCCTACTGTAGCAGTTTAAGTTATATGGTTAAGAACTGGCCTAAAACGTATTAGGACTAACATTAAAGCTCAAATACTTAAATACCCCCCTACTTTTTTAATCATTATGATTCTCATCATGTAAGTCGAATTAAAAGAGGTTTGTGCTTATATTAGAACCACGCGCTTCACTGGTTACACATTTCAGGTAAAGCCTACAAAAATTACTTTGAGATCTTTCGAATTCCTATGCTGTAAACACAGACCTAGCACCAACAACTGATGATCTTCTAGACTGGCCTACTCTAACTCAGTGGGCTAATCATTCATATATGCAAGGGTCCCTTAAAAGCGTGAAGAATTTCCCTATGCAAATTATAAATTTACGATAGTGATGAAATACGTATAGCTACTGCACTATGAGCTAAGACGAGATGTTTTGTGATTTACTGGCGGCCTGCTTGAATATCTGGGCTACCTGTTCCTCCGATCTACATATTTCATCAAGTTATCTGTTTTGTTGTTTGTTTTAGTTCATCATTATGTTCATTAAGCACACAACCTATTCAGGCGCGTTTATGAAAAGTTTACAACCTTTCGCTATACGTGATACAAAAAGGTGCAATCATCGACATCATGATGGCTGGCAATATGCATTGAAACGAACGAACATTAATCAAATGTGGATTACCGAACTCCTAACATCTAACCGGTCATCATTCAAAATTTATCGTCACAATAGATCAAGGTATAAGAATAGGAAACTTGTTGAAATACTTTATGCTGAGAATTCTATGTTGTACCAAAAATATAATGTTGAATAAAGCTTCTAATAATAATAATAATAATAATGTCTGTTCATCAATCTGTATGAAGTTCACTAACCTTCAGCATTTCCACCGATTATCAAACATCTTGACCAGTCAATAGTACAACGGTGCACTCAGGGTTTCGATTTGTCTTACAGAAAGTCAAAAGTAGTAAGAACAGCATTGAAACACGATTTTCGGAATTCAGCGATATCACAATCCATGGAGCACTTAAAAGATTAAATAGTTCTGTGAACCTTAAACAACAAGTAAGGGATAAAATATCACAGATAAGGTCAGGGAAAAAATGTTATCTAGAAAACTCATGAAGTCAAGACCGCTATAACAAAGCAAGATTGATAATCATCTTTTCGAAAGCACAAATATGGTTTTATTCATTTTTTGGCGAACGCTTCAGCGAAATACAACACGCTCGAAATTATTATTATTATTATTATTATTATTATTATTATGATTATTATTAACGATATCACACAAATGACAATCAGGCACGCTACAAGAAAATTACTAACCCTTGAGTCTTCGTATATGTGACATGAACTCTGAGATATGGGAACTAACCCCTTCCATATTCTTCATGTGAACGTATTTTTGCGCATACACGTTAACTGATAAGGTTGAGGCATAACAAATAAATGATAGTAGTGTGGTTTAAATGTTAGCGCGTGAGATGAATTTGTTAGAAAATTGAATAACAGGACTGCCACATGAAGCACTAATAATATGAGCTTGTTTGCGTGTTCAGTAGGTTCCAAAAATTTATCCCACAGTTACAAAATGAAATTGATAGATATGAGATTGCTGCAATTGTGAAGTGCTTAGTTACAATTGAATCAGAATCTAAAATTTAAGCATAAGCATATTAGAAACTTAGTTATATCACAAGGACTGGTGAAAGAGAGCAAAATTATGTGGAGGAAGTAAGCGTAAAAATCCAGCTGCGTTCAAAGTCTTACGCTAATTGTGACAAAAATGCCTTCCGAGCTAACCTTGCACTGGTAACATTGAAGCGCATTTTTGGCCAGTTTGACGGAAGAACTTTCCATACAATCTTCAATAGTTTTATCCGTCCCCATTTAGAGTACGGAAATATAGTACTCCCCCCTCACTCCAAAAGGACAAGATTACTTTGGAGCGTATCCAACGGCGAGCCACGAAATCAGTTCGCGGACTCAAATCTAAGCCTTACGAAGAACGCCTCCATTCACTAGACCTTTACCCATTAGAGTATAGGCGTCTTAGAGGTGATTTATTAATGGCTTATAGTATTCTTAACACTTCTGGACATCCTCTTAAACACCTACTCAAGCTTAGTTCGAATAATAACCTAAGGGGTAACACCCATAAACTGGAAACTCAATATAGCAAGACGGGATGTAGACACAACTTCTACTCCTTAAGAGTTGTCAAAAGCTGGAATTCGCTGCCCGCTGAGCTAGTCCAAGCGACTTCTCAGGAGTCCTTCAAGAGGCAACTTGACCTATTCTTAAGGACCAAAGACAGTATCATACTATGATTTACCAATTTCTTTTCCTCTTTTATTGTTAACATACCTAGGTTCCTGCCTGGAGAATTTGGTGATCCCCTGCTACTAGACACGGAAGCCTGTTAAGCGAAAGTTTCTTCTATTCCGTCCACAACCATTTGAACCATTTGAACAAATCATTAATCGGAGTGCACAAAGAAATGTCACATGAACACAAACGTTCTATATTAGGCATTCACAACTGTACAACTTAAGTGAAGTTATGAGACGCATAAATGACGATAAACATTGTTTTAAAAATTCGTTTAACCTTACTATATTTACGAGACAAAACGAAGCACGAATTAGTCTTCACTTGATTAGGATTCAGGTAGTGAATCCTTGTTTCAGATATGAAGTTGTTATACTAGAACGACTTCAATAGCTGTGGATTGGAATGGTAAAAGTTCTCAGTGCACTACTTTATGGCGATAGATTGAAGTACCTTAAAATATTTAAATTAACTTGCCTCAGGTTGCCTGGTGACTTAATACTGGCTTGCTACATACTGTACGATGATTTTGGTATTGATATATTCCGTCTTTTCCTTCTACTTAAGGTTAAGCGTCAGTTCAAAAACCGAGATTATATAGTTTACGTCAGGAGATTCATTCTTCGTATATCAGAACGCTCAATATCAGCACATGACGATGCATTTAAAGCGAGGTTCGATCTTCATAGTACTACAATTTGTGATGACAACTTGACATCCTAATCTTATTACTGAAGAATATATACATCTTTTTGATATGGATTTCCATATAAGTTGATTGAATAGATTCATAATCTTTCAAACACGAGGAACTGTAGTTTCCTTGTTGCAGTTTTTTAAACAAACTAGTTTTGTGACCTTGTTCACTTCCAAATAAGCGTTTATTTCGTATGTGATGGATGATTTGTATCCAAAGCTCTCTACTTATGAGTTTGACTATACAACTGATATCAACAAGAAGATGCGTGTCCCAGAAAAACTTTCATACGATTCCGATAATTCAGCAACACTCAGTGAAGGTCATGATGTTTCTTTTCGCAACTATCCAGTTGCAGATTTAAGTGCGAAACTTAATTATACTTACTTTACAGTTTTAGATGCCAAACGCTCATCAGAGTACGCCCTAGGATATAGTCCTGATTTACTGAAGAACAGTGACATTCGCTCGAAATTAGTTTGCAAGTAAGTCTCATAAATCTATGCATCTGCATTGTGATTCTACTTATAACCAATCAGGTTCATTCGTCATGCAAAGTCTAATATATTCCCTGAGCCAATGCTAAATAATTCCGCTTAGACTGTTTTTCTAAGACCACTTCTGACATGTTTATTCTTCACTCGTCGTAGCTCTGGCTAACACTGGTTGTATTTCAGAGTACTGTGTTACCCGTAAAAATCCTAGTAAGATGACAGTCTAAATAAACTAGTTATCCACAAAAAATCTGATCTTTCGTTTGACCAATGCAATTCTGTCCCACGTGGTTACTTTGTTAAAATAGACGTCTGAAGTCAAGTGAACTGGATACAAATTTTATTGTTTATCGTCCAAACACAACGACTATTGAGCGTAGTAGGTATTCTGTTAACCTAGCACATAAACCTTCAAGTCATTGCTGAGATTGTGTAAACAAAAAAACCGGTCACTTTGTGTTTTCAAGTATGCGCTTATCTTTCAATGTTTGGTTAAATTCAACTTTTAATTGAAGCTTACCCCATATACGGTTTTTCAGGTGTACGGTGGTATTCAAGCGTCAAAAAGCTACAAGAACTTGTGCAATTTATCGGTAGCCTTCCTCTCTATCGGTGTTCTACAATTAGTAATGAAGTTTTAAATTTCTCAAGAATGTAAGATAGTACCCATCTCTAATGTCCATGTAAACCTCGTAAAATAATTGGGCTTTCAAGAGTTTTTTCGTCCATTATGTCTTAGTACCAATGCTCGTTTATTTTCGGGCTATCGAATCAGTAGTTCCGATGTTGAACCCAGAGTATTAGGTAGGTATTGTAAATCGGTAAACGAGGTGAATCTTTATCGATTTGGATGTTTGCAAAATGTGTTACTTAACCCCATCCACCGAATATTTTGATAGGCGATAATGACTGGTGTAGAGGTATTCTGGAAGAAAACTAGAGGTAGCCGAACCAAGACATAGCATCAGTTCATTGCGACACCAGTTGTTGAACTGAACCATATAGTTAAGTGTCAGTCGCAACGTAGAACCTAGTACGTATGTATATAAATCGGTTCAAGTTGCTGTACTGTATATATATAGCACAGAGAGATAAAACTGTTGCTCTAATCCTCAGAATATTAGAAGTACCAATATCAGTAGTAATATAAAAGAATAGACATCGAAGATACGATTCAAGAAAATACAAGGAATTTAGAAGTCTAGAATTCGAGGGAAGGCAAACACGTTAATGCACTTGAGACATTTCAAACAATCTTGATTCACCCATTTAGATGGGTCAGTCCACTTATTGATAACTTCACGAAGTGGTCCCATGTCTTGGTTTGGCTGCCCCTATCTTTCTTTCAGCCTACTCGTACATCGAAAAACATGCCCTTCGAGGTAGACGGTAATTGAGCACATGTAACATATCTCCTAACCACCTCAGTTGATGAGGATTTACTACCTCATCAGTCAATTTCCCATCCTAAGCTAGCACTGTATTCCTAACCCAGGCATTGCTTACTCGGCGGTCCCAAAGAATACGAGCAATGCTCGATGACACCTGCGATCATAGGTAAATACAGACTGTCTAGTTTCAGTCAGTCAGCTACAACGTAGGACCAGGCACATATATGCATCGGTCCAAGTTGCCATACCGCATTAGCACAGCAAGATGAACACCGGATTCATAGAAGTGGTTAATTCAGAGGTGGTAATATATAAAAGAAAGATTGCATATAAGGATATAGTATAGGAAGAAAGAATTAGTTCGTAGAAAGAAAGATATCGATTATGAGACATGTCACCAAGAGTCCACAACCAAGTAGTCTGCATCTAGCAACATGACTCAGACTAGAAGTTAGTGACTTCAAGCACTGATGCCACATTTTGGTTTGGCAGTCTTGAATGCTGCCACAATCTTTACCTCTAACAGCACTCAAGACTGTCTAGTTTAGGTCCACATAAATATCATAAGCAATGGTTAGAGACTTTGTTTTACATGACTCAACATTTTTAATAATAACATGGGTGCAAATATTCTTTGACTTCCATTAGATCCCAGGTTTCTGAATTCCTTATGATTTTTTTATTTGCTTTATACTTGCTTGGATCGTATCTTCGATGCCTAATCTTTATTACCATCAATATTTTTATAACCTCTATCACTCTGGGATTTGTTTCGAGAATTTCATATTGTTGTGCTATTGGAGTGTGATAACTTAAACTGATTTACACATGTGCCAGATCCTACATTGCATATTACTGACTGGCCAGTGTATGTATAACTTTACAGCAATGTTTTATCAATTATATTTGCTGCGCATGCTCTCAAACTTTTCGCATTTTCGAACTAAACTTTGATGTAGAACAAATACATAAATGTTAGAATAGCATCAAATGTTTATCTTAGTTACATACTCACATAACTATAGCTCATAGTTGCATTATCGTAGTTACGTTATTTTTAGATGAATATAAATATTTCATGTACTGAACCTATAGAATATTCCTTAAATATATCATATTTTGTTTAATCCCGTTCTAGTGCCCAAGCTCAAGCTTCTTCTCAGTCATCAGATGGTTTAGCTAAAGCTAATGCTTCTGCTGGAGTATTTTGTGAAACTTCTAGTCATCGAGCACAAGAACGCATTCGTGTATCAAGATCTTCCTCCACTGGTAATAACGAACACGTATCTGTTGATAATCGTCTTATAAGACTTGAAAAACGTATATCCCATTTGGAATTTCAACAATCTCTCATGAAAGGGGGATTAACAGTGTATATATTATACCGCATCATAAGATGGATTATAAAAAATTCGTGATAAACTTGTTATAATGATCATCATCCCAACGTATTTTCGAACAATCATATTCTCTTAATAAGTTTATTGTAAATTTGATGATTACCTCCCTGTCTGTTTTTACTTCAAACAGTCTAGATTACATACAGTGCTGTCGCATCTGCCAGCACAGTAGTAAATCATTGTACGATTTCTTTCAGTTATCTTCTTGATTTTAAAGAGAAAAATCCACTATCTTCCACAAATATTCTATACATACATTATCAGAGTGCATTTAATGTGTATCACTCATTTTAAAATATATGAGTATTATTCCTGTTTTTAAAACTTTTGATATGTAGTTTAGCTTCTGTTCTTTTTCTTTTTGATCATTCATTTTTCGACAGAGAGTATTGTTTTGTTCGGTATTCTTCATCATGTAAACTTCATGCCAAGCTCCTGTATTAATCAAAGGTTTTTAAACTGTTGATAGACACAAAAGTAAATGCTTCACTTAATAATAGTATTAAAGAACTATATATATTGCCAGCTAATCGATTCTGTTTTTGATCTGTCGATAGATTTGTTATAAATTAATTGTCATACAACTTAGCTCATTGACTAATTACAAATGTATGCACTAGTTTTTAGGTTAAACCTCTTAGTTTGATAGTTAGTAATACTACCCGACTGCTCAATCAGGGGCAGATGAAGTAAGGTTTTGAATCAGCGACCGTATGGTTGAGAATTATATATCTGTCAACACTAAATCACGGCTAACTTATCAGTTATATCATTGAATTGTAGATTTTTTAGATGACATCAGCATTTTCTTCGTTATGAGCTACTCTCAAATTCTGATTTAGGTATCCATATATGTATTTGTATTTCTTTCTTGCATATGGATACTTTTTTAGTTTTTCCAAAATAAAGAGAAATATATATACTTGTACATAGTGTGAACTATTAAGAAATGTTTCCGTAGATCTGGTTTCAACCAGTCTAAAAATGCCTTGCGTTTGTTCATATTCTGGCTGTAATATTATTTATATTGTCTATCTCACTTTCTTTCGGACTTTCATCGTTTTTCTTTGCAGAAAGTCAAGCGTATTGTCTAATCCTAGAATACATTAAGATAGAAAGCAAATTTTGTAATATTTTCTCCAATCTATATTCTAAGTTAAGTTCATCCTGATGACTACTTCATTGTAATATCAATAAATTAATTCCCAATCATAGTTACCATCTTCAACGATTATACTGGTATAGCATGACAATAATAGATTTAATTAGTATATCGTATTACTGTATATAATCTCATCATTTGTAATGAGATCTCTTAATACTATAGACTTGGTTCTCCATATTTGGTTTCAAAATACTAGTTTTAAATAGATGATTTTTTTTTGCTTTTCACTAAAACCTTTAAATTATTTAAATCATCTGGTGAGACTAATTGATGGACAATCTTTAAGTGACGCTAATATGACCTTGAGAGTGTCCACATGATAACTAGGACCAACTGAGGATTATAAATCTTGTATAAGGAATTCGTATTATGATTTACAGTTGATGGTTAAGGGTTAGAAATTAGATTTAAGGTTTTCATCATGAATTAACATCAGCTATAATGTCAAAACTTTATTTAGTCAAATAGATGAGTGAATTTCTTGTTAAATTCCGAGATCTATTCTCTTATAATACCTAATTGGTTCGTTTATAAATGATAGTCTTATTGAAATCATCTTCATCTATAAAAGTTTTAGGTTACTAAACGGAAATATAATTTACAATGTATATAAATGGGAAATTTCAATCATTTAAATGTTTTCCATATCATTTAACAAAACATAATTTTCTTTCATTAACAATTAAAGTAATCCCTATTCCTTGTATAAAAAAGCTTAATAGTTAATAATCAATAAATAACATAATTAATACAACATGATCTAATGATAACTTATCATAAGGCTAAACTTATGGATTAGTGTATTGTATTATATAATTATTACTTATTAATGAAGAAATGAAACGGTTCATCTGATTGATTATTGATTAAATAGTGTTAATAATAATAAGTGATTTCTCCTGAGAATAAATTAATTCCAGAATTAAAATGTCATTGAATAGTTTGATAGAAAATCACGTATTCATTGTTATCAATTGAATGTTATTACTTTATTATTATCATCATTATCATAACTATTATTATTATTAATATCATTTTTACTGCTGTTATTGTTATCATTACTATCATTACTGATACTATTATCATAGCTGTTACTATTATTACTATCATTCGTATCACTATCTTTACTATTACTATGATTTTTATTACTGTGATTATTATTACTATCGTCATTACTATTAGTATCACTGTTATTATTATTACTATCGTTATTGTTATTATTGATTTTACCATTCAGTCAGTGGTCTTGAGCGCTGTTAGAGATATGAGGGCGGTTATCACTTCCCGGTTGCCCACACTGTGGAAGGGTTTTTCTGGATGTACCTGAAAAGGAATTTGGATTAGAGGTGGTCTTAGTGACCTTAGAGCGTAACCGCAGTGCCCAAGGGACAACTGCTTGAGGTCGGTCACACACGACCTTTTTATGAGTAATTTTTGTGTTAGTTCCGTACTTGTTGAGACCTTACCGCCGGAGACGGATATCCCTGGGATAAGGTGAGGTGTGTATTTTTATAGTCGACCTTTTCTAACCCCACCCCTCCTTGTGGGAAGGCAGCATTGCTCTCATGCTGGTTGTCTGAAAGAAACACCTTACTGCTGTCACACCTCTGTACAATCAGCAGTACGACTTCGCCTTCAGACCTTGGGTTTGCTGTTTTTAGTCTTACCGTTCTTCAACCGACCTGTCTGACATGGTAGGACCTTGAGGAACGGTTGTTCCAGCCAGTATAGCTCGGTTGCTTCATCACGATAGGCAAGCCCGACCACCACCTCAAGGTAGCAACAACGGTCGGGGATTTTACCATTACTATTATTATTATTATTATTATTATTATTATTATTATTATTATTGAATAAAGCAACACATTTTAGTGGTCTTTATCTTCAAATCTCAAATTGGTAATCTTTAATGTGTTTTCTATGTTTGTTTTTTATTGATTATAGAAGACAAAATATGATATATGTCACACACTTAAATAAAATAAGTTAGTTACTTTGGATTTATATTTATACTGTTACAAACTTGTAATTTGTATAAATTTTACTTATTTTCTTGCTTTAATAGATGTCATTATGTAATTCATTCATTATCAGGAGGAGTTTGTGGAGGTTTTAGAAATTTCACAGATTGAAATCGTGAGTCAATTGAAGCTAGACCACCATGGAAAACCTGGATCGTGGATGCGCACTGCTGAGGAGTCCCATACTAAGACGAAACAGCCGTCCAGTGCTTCCAGGTTTTCCATGGTGGTCTAGCTTCAATTGACTCAAGATTTCAATTTATTCATTCATTCAATTTAACTATCCATCTAACAGTTTTATTTTATATATCTAATACAAATTGTATTTTAACTTAATATTTTAGCATGATGGTCACCTCTAATGAAGATGATACTAAACGAGAGAAATTAGTTGAACGAGTTCGTACATCGGTGATAGTATTTTGGATATTATCTATTATATTTTTAATAATAGGTATAACAGTACTATCTATGTATCATAATTTAAATGAGTAAGTTTGTATTTTCTATACTTCTATTATTATTATTATGATTATGATCATATTATACAATGTGTATTCATTTAGTATATAGATCATTAAGATGTTTGAATATGAGTATATCTAATGGAATATATGGATTATGACTAATATTGGAATCCAGGATTCACGTTTGTTTTTATATTTGGGACTCATCAGTTAGCTGTAGATCTGAATTGAAATGCTAATGTTCACTTATAACAAGATGGATATATTGAAGTTATCCCCACTAAATGGACATATACCACTAACGAGACAGTATTCAACCACTGTCAGGGAAGTCCTACTCACTGCCTTCTCACACGATGAGTGTTGTTTACGAAATTGAGAAGACGAAAAGCGAATGTCCGGCAGAGGGTTTAATCAAGTTGTTGGAACACGGAAAGTCCACCTAGAGGAGTTGGAAAATCCTGATTCCAAACCAATGGTGTACATAGGCTCCAGGATCCTGAAGGAACAAATGGCATATAAACCAATTATTGGTCACCGGTTACCATGGGACTACATCTCCTTAGGTTGCTCCACTGTCTTATGGATTAGGCCTTTACGTCGAAGACTCCGGTTATGGTCCCCTAAGGAAATCACCTGTTTCGGTTTGGTCACACGGGCAGTATCCCAGCCCTCACACAAATCGAATGATTTATGTGGTGCATATCTATTTGGTGCCTCCTTGTACCAATGTTTATGTGTTTTAAAAAACAAATAAATAAAACAATCTAATTCTTTGACCCAGAGGTATAGTCCACTAAACAATGGATCAACGTTAGGAAATGCGGTCTAGTGGTAGCTGGTAATCAGGGATGAATTCATACACCATTTTCCCCTTTAGGATACTAGAGCCCATATGCACTGTTTGTTTGGAATCACGGTTTTGCAACTCCCCTCTGTATCCACCGACCTCGGCTTAAGCTCTATCTAAACATTCTCTTTTCATCTTCTCCATTTCGTTAAAATAACCTCCTCTTCGTGAGATAACAATGAATAATACTTCTCTGATAGTGGCTATATACTTATGGCCTATATAAGAACACTTTAGGTGGAAGAGAAAACTTTCCGTTTCATCAGGCATAATCACATATTCATTTGATAATCATATCATTCTATCTTCAAATTATACTTCTACTCTATTAATTCTAACACAGAATTGAACTCAAACCTTTAATACTTAAACCTTATACTCTTAATTAATGTATTTGATATGTTTAAATATTGTAGGTTTTTTAAAAAAAATAAAACTTTCTTTGTTTAAAATCTCATGATGTTCTTATGGGTGGGTTCAAGGGATGTTTTTGTTTTTGTTGATGTCAGTATTAGAAATGAGTCAAATCGAATTATAATCTCTAACTGATCTACATTAACTTTGTAATACACCATTGTGTTTGTTTTTAATTAATCAGTCTGCAAAATAAAACAAACAGAAGAGACATTTGAAATTTTTTATTCATCTAATTTTAAGCCAATAAATTGTTTCAATAGTTAAAATGATGAATCAATTAAAGATAGACAATTATTGAAAACCTAGAAACATTGGACGGTCATTTGATTCTATGGTGAGAGACTCCTCAACAGTATGCATCCATGGTGATGATTATATTATGCATAATGATATGATGGTTTATAGGATTTTGTTTTCTATATGTGTGTATTTGTACAAAATTCGTATTGATTTTGAGAATGAATAAGATGATCCATGTTAATCTATTTTATCGAATTGTATTTGTTTATATCAATTGAACAGAGAATAAGTCATTGACTATTTATAATGTGGATAAAAGGTGGAATACAGGACGCGTATTCTATCCTGTTTTGGATTTGTCATCTAGATGTATCTGCATCCTAGAGTTAATGTTCACTTTAAGATTCTAACCTGACACCATTCACTTCAAACGCTATCTTTTTATCCACAAGTAAAATCCTAGAACCATATAGTAAATACTTCATTTGCAAAATGTCAATCAATTGTATCAGACTTAACTGTTTCTTCATTTTCACATTAATCACTCTATTCTCGTTCTCTTTTCTTCGATCTTCCTACCAATATGACGCTAGGAATTTCACTTTCGATTAATAACAGATACTACTTATATATATGTATCGATAACAGTAGCACACACCACACATCCAACTGACAAATCCCATATAAGGTGGAACGTACTTTCTGGATCCCATTGCTGGCCATATTCCATCTATTCTACAACGATAGAAAGACTGCTGAGTTTCTTTATATGTAATAGCTCATTCAGAGAGTTGTAATCAGTCAACAAATTCCAAGCAAACCTACGACTATTTCAATGTAAAAAATTTTGGACTGCGACTGAACTGATATAGGATTAAGATTTATTTACAATTGATTGATGACATTGGATTTAATTCTCCAGGAAACATTAGTTCCCTTACAGTTACTGGCAAGCTTTACTAATGGGTATCAGAATGACACGAAACCTCGGTCTAATGTTTCCTGTTGACTACCTCCAACTACTACTTCACACTTCTTTATTGTGCATGCGATGTCAGGTTACTGGAGCTTGATCAATAGAACTTTATTGACACTAAGAAAGATTTGAAATTCATGACATTGGTCACAATTCAATGATCAATCAATTGTATATAGAAGTTATGTTTAAACTTTTAGAAAAAAAAAACTTTTAAACAATTTACCTCACAATAGCTTAAGAACTTCCTTTGATTGCTTGAACTTTTATTGATTCAATGAACAAATAATTAAACAGCAAGAAATGTTGAATTCTTTGTTAATTCCTAACATACATATACTGTACTACTGTGGTGTATGCTACATATGTTGACAGACATACATAGTATGTAACATCAATCAGAAGAGAAATACATGACAGTGGAAGGCTATGAAGGTTGGAAACAAAAAGGAATTATGACTTGAAAGAATCATACGGTGTATGAAGAACAAATGATAAAAATACTCAAGTGAAGTATTCAGTATATGGTTCTCATATTTTGCCAAGAGATTCTGTAATTACATATTTAGAACAACACATGTGAGCGTCATCAGGCTTTACTCTAATATACATGAATATTTATACGAAAATGTTAAACCAATCAAGGTTATTTAGGTCAATTGTCAGTGGTTAAGACATTCGACTTCCAATCACAAGGTTCTGTGTCTGAATCCCCATTCACCCACTTTGGTTTGAGCACATTGATATTATTGTGGTGTGTGCTACTGATGTTGACAGATATAAGTAGTATATATCACTAATCAATAGTGAAATATCTGGTGATAGAAGGTTAAGAAGATCGAAGAGAAACGAACGAGTGATTGGTGTGGAAATTAAAGAACCATCAAGTCTAAGACAATTGATTCACATCTTCCTGTATGGTTCTCAGATTTTACTAACATACTCTCCAATGGTATGTTCATATACATTTTGATTGTCCCCACTGTTATTCTCATGCTTCACATACCTGGGAAGCATGAACAAGGAGGAGGAAGGCGAGGAATGGCAAAGCAAGGGCCGCATTCTTACAATAGAAGAACATATGGAACTCAAAACAACTTCCAACCAATATCAAAGTCACAATCTTCAATACGGACGTCAAGGCAGTTCTACTATACGGAGCTGAAACTTGAAGAACTACTACAACCATCATCAAAAAGGTACAAGTATTTATAAATAGTTGTCTACGCCATATACTCAACATTCCTTGGTGGGATATCATCAGCAACAGCCTTCTCTGGGAGAGAACAAACCATCTTGTAGCTGAAGATGAAATTAGGAAAAGACGATGTAAATGGATAGGACATACATTATGCAAATCACCAAACTGCATCACGAGACAAGTCCTAACTTGGAATCCTGAAGGAAGGCGGAAAATTGGAAGGCCAAAGAACATATTACGTCGGGAAATAGAATCAGATATGAAAAGGATAAATAACAGCAGAACAGAGTTAGATGGAGAATGCTGGTGACCGGTCTGTGCTCCTTCACGAGTAACAGGCGTAAGTAAGTAACTGTTGTTCTCGTTCATTACAATATTATCTGTTTATTCATAACGTTAGATAATCAATCTTTCTGTTATTGTGACTTACTAAATAGAAGATTGATTGATTTTGTTTTTGTAAATTTCTTATTTAGTTCATCTCAATACGCTGGTACTATCGCTGGAACATTTTTCTTAGTTTTTAGTATACCATTAATTATATGCAGTGGTTTTTTAACTAGTGCATTATTAATTATACAAGAATCAATTCAAGATGAACGGGATTATCGATGTCGTGATCCAGAATTTTATAAAGATGTTAGTTCACATTTTGCCTAATTTTTTTTCTCTTTCAATGTTTTATCTGTTGTACAAACAATCACTAATTTCTTCACTGTATTATTAGACCAGTAATGCTGGAACTCCATCAATGACTGTAATGTTGTTTCATGTCTACTAATTTTGTTCTAAGATATTCTAGGGATTCAATCTATAGCTCCCCAATGTTATTGATGCGTTATATTACTTGATATAACTTTAAGTTGTATGCTACACGTGAATTCGGTCACGATTTGTTCATCCTCTTGAGAAGCCATTTTTATGACTTGACTGATTGGTTACGCAGAATTTCTATTCCAAGGTTTCATAAGAACGTAAAAAGAGGAAAGCTGTACTAATCTTTTGGTTTTATAATTATATTAAATACTTTTTCACTGTACAACAGAGTTATTGAAACTTTTAATATTGTGTTTAGTTTATGCAATTATTTGGACGATTTTATATAAGGATAAGTTAATTTCTTTAAAGCAAGTATAAATTCATCTATTTAGTCTCAGTTTTATTGTCAAGGCACACGTAACAACAAATGCCGGAGAAGATGACCAGTGTAGCAGCAATAAATCTCAATATACACAAAGAGAAAAGTAAGATTCTCCGATACAATACAGCATGCATCAATCCGATCACAATTGACGGAGAAGATTCGGGAGATGTAAAAACCTTTACATTTCTGGGCAGCATCATTGATGAACACGGTGGATCTTATGCACATGTGAAGGCGCGGATCGGAAAAGCAACAGCAGCATATTTACAATTGAAGAACATCTGGAACTCAAAATAACAGTCACCCAACACCAACGTCAGGATTTCCAATACAAATATCAAGACTTCTACTGTATGGAGCGGAAACCTGGAGAACTACGAAAGCCATCATCCAGAAGTTACAGGTGTTTATTAACAGTTGTCTACGCAAAATACTTCAGATCCGTTGGCCGGACACTATTAGCAACAACCTACTCTGGGAGAGAACAAACCAGATCATAGTGGAGGAAGAAATCAGGAAGAAGTGCTGGAGTAAGTAAGTAGTGATACTATCCGGTTGTTAAACGCGAACTAAGTAGATCGGTACTCTGAAACTTGGGATCATTTCATTTTCAAATTTGATATATCAATCCAGACATGGTTTAATGATAAAGACCAACTCAGTTTCAAATTCAAGTCTCACTCCTCCCACTAGGTACGGTCATAAACCCTGATACATGAAGTATGGCTTTGAACTGAGTACATGAATATGTAATTAGTAATAAGTTGATTGATAGTTTTCATAAATATATTTCTTTTTTTTCTGTCTTAGATTCCATATCCACGTCAACCATTTAAACCAGTACCAACATCATCATCATTGCCTACTCCATATCCTTCTGCACCTATTCCACAATTTGAAAATTTTTCAAAACCTTCTCTATCACCAATTCCATATAGAATTCCAAGTCCTCCAAGTTATCATTCAGCAGTTACATTGACTAATTGATCAAGTGCTTATGATGAATTAACAAATTAAGGTTAAACAATGATACATGTGTGTTTTAACAGTTTTTTTTTAATTGCTTGATGTTATGACACACCTATTGTATTCCTATTCATATAAATTCTTTTTTGTATTTTGATTGAACTACTTATTTAATCTTCAGTAGTCATTTTATTTTCTTTATATACAGTAAACATTAGATGCTAAATTTTATTGTAAGTTTTTATACACAACAACGTAAAAACTATTACATAATCTTATTAATTCAGGTTGACACATTTTGTAATAACACATATTAGGTGTTACTTTGTTGAAAAGTATTCGGCGGGAAACACTAAGTTTCAAGCTAATCAGCACTTGCCATCGCGGCGTACCCTCAATCTTGAAAGAACAAATACTCCCTGTATACCTATCATCTGACTAACTCAGTAGAAACATTTCAGATTGTCAAACTAGGTGACGCGGGTTCGAATTATTCAAAAAGTATCACTTCCCTCAGGATTTCAGATAGATCTTGGTAACAAATGGCAAACAGTGTTAAGTAGAGGTCCAGGATCAACTGCCAACTACCATCAACCATGTATCATCCAAAACATAACGCATGCGACAGGAGGTTACGCCGAATAGAAGTCAGCGGAAATTAATCAGAGGAATTATATCAACGCTAACGACCGGAAAAACGTGATGTCATCTACTAATCAATGATCAGACAATGTACATACTAGATAATGAGTAAACCCATTAATCATATAACAATGTAAGATTATTACACTCTTATATTAGAGAAGATAGCAAACACGTGTAGTATGTTGTGGTTTCGTGTTATCCATTTATTATTTAGATCATTATTAACAGAATAAACTCGGGGAAACTAGTTGCGTACAGCATTTCAACCAAACCTGAAACAAGATAGTTGAAAATTCTAACCTCTAAATATTTTCTGAGGTACGACCGAGGGTAGGCAGATTCAGAACTCCTACTCGAAATGCTCTCACGTGTATACGGTCACTGCCTTCTCGCACCATAGGTGTTGTTTACGAAAATGAGTGGACGGAAAGCGATTGTGGACACGGAGAGTCCACCTAGGAAAGTTGGAAAACTCTCATTCCAAACCAACAGTGCACATAGGCTCCAGTTTTCTGAGGGAATAAATGGCATCTGAACCTATTGTTGGTCCGTGGCTACCATGAAAGTGCACATCCACTACCTTGTGGATTAGAGTTTCAGGTTGAAGGCTCTGAATGTAATCCTCTAAGAAAACCACCTACTCTTGTCTGAACACCCGGACAGTTTATATGATCTCATTTTTACGCATTTATTAGACAAATTACATACCTCTATAGTAGTAGTCATTAACCGACAAGATCTTTTGTTATTCAATAATAAACAATATATTCTGTATCTATCATCTGTAATGCAAAGAATACCTTTAATAATAATAAAAGATTATCGTGAACGTTCATTCAATACAATTAAACCTTTTTTTTTTTTATTTTTCAATTTTCCTTAGAAAAAACAATAATACATAATCATCAAGAGAAAAAGAATCAAGGAACGCGCGCACGCACGCACACGCTCGTGCACACATGCACTCATGAAGAGTTTTCATCACATCAATTGATAATTTAACAACAAACAAATTGTAATTAACCTTAAATGATATACTTACCATATATTTATATTACTATATTAATCTTTGATTAAAACCACTATGAATGATCAATTTTTTTTATGGAGGTGTACATTTTTGAAATTTCAAAATGAAACTGATCATATTTGCTAAATTGATGATAAAAGTATTGGATGTTTTTTTTTCGAGTGTTTTAAATAGTTGTTGTTTCCCATTATATGTGAAATCTGAAAATGTGATTACACAGTTCAGATAGACGGTCATTTTGAAATACAGTTTTTTTCATATATTAGCTGCGTATTTACGTTTAGAGATGAAGGATCATGGGGGGGGGTAGGTTTGCTATGCTGTTTTTAGTGATTGTATAAAACCGGGTTAGCTACAAATATTTATTGTTTGACGGAAATTACATTCCAGCTCATTCAATCATACAACTTTACATTCAAACCATGAGTTGTTGTTTTCATGTTACCGTTGTCCAACCGGTCTACTTTTCATGATAGAACATAAAGGGACGAATGTCGTAGCCAGTATAGCTCGTTTTTATCATTACAATAGGAGAGCAAAACTATAAAATCTAGGTAACACTTACAGTCGAGTGACAGCGAAAAAATTGATGATGATTATAGTATCACTTAGTCTTAGAAGGTCCATATAATATGTCCAACACTGTCAATGGAGAATCGCCTTGGAAGAATGTTGAAACAATAAACTATTCTACATGTCAGAAAAATTTCCAGAAGTCCCAGTAAAATTGCAATATTCTCTATTACGAGTAGTTTCATATTTCTCATTTACGCCCAGGGAAGCATAGACCGCCGACCAATATTCTTCGACCCACTTTGTCCTGAGCCTTTCAAGTTATATCCAATTTTTGTTCATTGTTTTCATTTCTCTCTCCGTTTCTCGGCGAAATGTGTTCTGTGGTCTTCCTCTTTTCCTTTGGCCTTGAGGATTCCATGTGAGGGCTTGCCTTGTGACACATTTGGATGCTTTCCACAATGTGTGTCCTATCCACTAACTCCGTTGGAATTTCATTTTTCTTACGTAAGTTAAATCTTGAGATTGATGCTTCCAACACATTACTTCATGTTTGTAAGTGGCATAATATAACAAACATTGATATTTTAACCTTTGAATGGGACATCATGGTGGATGTAAGTTTATACTTCCTATTCATCGACGTCCAAGTTCAAAAGAACAAGTACGATCATTAATGTGTAAGAAGAGATATGAAACAGTATGAGCAGATAAACCATGTGTTATTTTACGATTACCAGTAAATACTATAATTTCCTTCCTAATCGCTTATCTATAAAAAAAAACATACCTCCTTCGATCATAATCTACATTCGAACACTTCACGAATTATGTTCAGCGTGAATATCAACAAATGACGTCTATGGATATATCATGCATTATATCAAACATGTTACAAAATGATTTGAGGTAATTTAAACTATTGAGCTAATATTAGGTAGTGCAGTATACAACAAATTACATTCTACAGGTGTATACACAAATACAGATTATAGAACATTTGTAGAAAGATATTTCAACTTCAAATGCTACAAAAATTTTTTCTGTAAAATACCGCGATTCATCAAGGCATGGACATACACACTACCTCCTGTTTAGATAAATGAATATCTCATTAGTTGAGATCATAGGTCAATTGAAGTTAGATCCCCATGAAAAACTTGGAAATACTGGACGGCCATTTCGTCCTATTGTGAAAGGAGTCCAGTGTTTCCAGGTTTTCAATGGTGGTTTAGCTTCAATTGACTTCTGATTTCAACTACTGAAATTACTGCAATCTCCACAAAACCCTTTCTGATACAAATAAATATCTATTAAAAAACGTCTTATAGAAAGCACTGGAAGGATGCAAAATGCTCTGAGACTTAGAACAATTGGTAGTAGATTAGCTTTAATTGTAAGGGCTGAGATGGAGGGGAACCATCGAATAAGGATGATATGGGCAACCACAACTAAAGAGATCACATTTTCAAATAACAAGACATTTTTATACACTTTCAACAAACCGCAAGTTAGTCAGATAATCCAAATTTATCTTTATGCGGTTTGAATAGAAAAAAATGGAGAAATTGGTCTCTTAAAACAAAACAAGTATCATATATGGCAAAATTACTTTCTCCTTTCAATTTAAAAACAGTAAAAGCTAATACAATCCCCTACGAAACATTATTCTAATGATCGAGATGTTTGCTACACAAAGAAAATTCGAATCGAAACAGCAGACGAAACAATACTAGTGATGATAGTTGGTTATAAAACCAAAGATCAAACAAATAAGTCCCTGTTACACAATTCAAATGAAACAGTCATTTAATAGGTCAGTACCGATTGAATAATTAATTTATAAATAACAAGAACGATTTAACTTACATCAAATATATCCACTACTGATCAATTAATCAAACATAAATACATCTCAGTTCTACCCAGAGTTGAGTGGGGCGCTTCAAATTGTGAAATTAAATTGAGAGAAATCTGAATAGTACAGTATATCTTGTTATAACATAAATACTAACTAACACATAACTCAGATTAAGTTTAGTACCTTGTCAACTATCTCCGATCATCTCAGATTATAATAGTCAGTTTTCAAAGATCAGAACAATGATGCAAGATATTTCGTCTTATAAATACATCATTATTATTATGAATAGTATTATCATAGTAAAGAAAAAGAATTAAATTAAATAAATTATACTGATGATGATGATAATAATAATAATAATGATAACAATAGTAGTAATAATGATAAGAAATGCCACACATCATTAAAAACAATTCCCCCCCCCACTCTGCCATGAAACTAAATTGGTCAAATTAGAATAGAGTAGAGAAAACCAATAAAATAGTAATGGTTTTTGTTTTAAAACAATCACTAAATAACAAATTTATATACATAATTCTTTAACATTAAATGTAATAGTTAGGAGAGAGAAAAAAAAGGAGGAAGGAGGAGGAGGGTAGTGAGGGAAGATAATTGATTTTAAGGAATTCAATATCATTTATCATGAATAAAAATAAAACTTAATTCATACATTATATGTATAATTCAAAATAAGGATTACTGTGCACAATTGTCTAATGGACAATTAAAGCATATCAATAAATGTAGAATGAGGAAATCTCAGCAACCAAATGTTCATACACAGTAATGATGTGTGTGTGAGAGAGAGGGGGGGATTATTATAAAGGTGTATTATAATGTGTGTATAAATTACATAATTATCTAAAGAAAAAAAATATTATGTGTCTTATTGTTCATATGTACATACATTGATGAATTAAAACAAAATGACAGGTATAGAACTTCATACACCGTTGTGTCACATACATACAACATACACACACACACAAATGATTATTTGGTTAAGTTTCAGATAGAGAGAGAGAGGGGTGTATTTGTGTTTATAACAAAAAAAGGTAAACAAACAAATATTTTTTCAATGTAAGTCAAGTTTACATTAACACGTATGTGAGTGTGTATGGAACATTAAAACACCCTTAAAGAGAAAGTGATCAACACAAAATAACAATATACACAACATATACACACACACATACACCTTGCTACATACGTTGTACACACAGAAAAAAACAATATGAAAGAATAAATGAAATTAGTGGTAATAATAAAGGAAAATGAATTGAAAATTATCATTCAACACAAAATAGATGTGCGTTTATTCAATAGTTTTCATGATCATCTTTCTATTTTGTCCTACTCTCCTTGTTCTACTCTACATGTCAATATATATATATAACCCTATGGATAAAAATAAATATTAACAAATACGTTGTGATTACAAATGAGATGAGAGAGAAAGAGGAGGAGGAGGAGGAGGAGGAGGAGAAACAAGACTGAAGATTGTATGTCTATGAATGTAAATCTTGATTACAAATTCTATTTATTATGAACAGCTTTTTATTATATTAATTAACAATTTGAAGCTTCAGAAGGATCACGATTATTTCCAGAGGTATAAATGCGATCTTGATGTCGATGTGATGAATTCGACACTGATCTTTCGCCATGATTATGCCTTGATGAATATGGAGAACTGTCATCACGATCTCTTGATCTATGTGAAGAAGACGAGTCACGATAACGAGGATTGTATTCATCATGACGATGTGATTGTTGTTGTTGATGATGATAATGAGGTTGATGTGTATGGTGTTTACGATCATAACGAGAATTATGATGAGAATGATGACTACTAAAGCATGGATGTTGTTTTGATGTTGATGATGACGATGATCTATAATGATCAAATTTACTGGAATTTCTTGATTGATACGAGTTATGATGTCCATATGAATGATGACGGTTTTCATAATGACCACCATAATCACGAGATGATTCTTTAAATTTTTTAGATGCTAAAATACTACTACTATTATGAGCTGTAGTGGTGATAGTAGTAGTAGTAGGTTGACGTGATTTAGATAGATCAGTATCTACTTTTGTTTTTAATTGACAATTTTGAATAATCGGTGTTTGTAAATCTGCAACATTATAACTAGTTTTAATTGATTGAAAACATTCAGGTATAATATCAGTGGATATGTGTTCTACGGAATCTAATTTTTCATCTAATACAGGTGTTCCAATGCTTATTGGAGGAGAATCATTATCATTAGATATAGATTTTGAATTTGTTACTAATGATATAGGAGAGATCATTTCTGTAGTGGTTGTCTCATTCTCAACAACAAATTGATTGATTTCATCTTTCATAGATAATGATGATGATGATGGTGAAGAGTTTAAAAGTGAATTAACTTGACAAATAGATTCATCACATTGTTGATTATTGACGATTGAATTATCAATCATATTCATATCATTATTTAATTCAGTAGATAATTCATTATGTTTATTATTATTATTATTTGGGGATAATGATGAATCTTTTTCAGGAGATGAATTATACGTAGTACAAATTGAATTTATAGTTGAATAATCATCTGAAACTAATGTTTCAACAGCAAATTTTGTAAATGGTTTATATTCTTTATTATTATTACTATTATTATTATTATTATTATTATTATTATTATTATTATTATCTGGAATTGAAATGACTGTTTTAGAAAAGTCATAACTAGCACCAATACTACTATCGTTTACTTTTTGTTCAGTAATAGTAGTAGTAGTTAGATTATTGTGTAAATCTATAGAAGTATCTAACAATGAATTATTATCATGATTAGTTGTTATGAATGAAATATTCTCATCTTGTACATTATTATTCATAATACAATTAGTATTATTAACATCATCTACATCAGTATCATTATTAGTATGAGATATATTTTCAATTGAAGTAGGAGAAATAATGTTATGATCATCATCATCAGCATCACCATCATTATCATCATCTACAACGACTTCCTTTTCATGTGATGATTCAATAGATTGGTCTTTATTTAAAGAATT